CTGAAGCTTCCAGCCTCTCCTTTTTTTCTTTTTTTTTTATTCTGGGATTTATTTACCTTCTATAATTGAAACTTTGTTGCCGTCACTGGAGCTGAGAGCTGACTCCTACTTGCTCCAGCTCTGAGGCCACGGCCTGCTGAAAGCAGATATCTGGGGTTTGTTTAGCTTCTATAATTGAAACTTTGTTGCTTTCGGAGCTCAGAGCCAGGCCGCGGCAGACGGGGAACCTTGGCTTCCTCCATCACTGGAGCAAGCAAGCCTCCTGCTCGCTTCAGCTGCGTGGCTGCCGGCCGCCATCTTGGTTGGGTTAATTTGCAATGGGAGCTGTAGCAAAGGTACGGTCAATTACCATGTTTGTCTATTATTAGATAGGATATTTTTATTGATTCCAGAGAGGAAGGGAGAGAGAGAGAGAGAGAGAGAGAGAGAGAGAGAGAGAGAGAAGATCAATGATGAGAGATAATCATTGATTGGCTGCCTCCTGCATGCCCCACACTGGGGACTGAGCCTGCAACCCAGGCATGTACCCTGCCGGGAATAGAACCATGACCTCCTGGTTCATAGGTTGACGCTCAACCACTGAGCCACGCTGGCCAGGTGGGAGAACAGGTTTTGCTTAATATGTACACCCTCAACCATAAAAGTTAATGTTCATTTAGATATTTAAAATGTTGCTAAATGCTTAAAGGTCCCCCCAGGTTTCTATTTACCGCATATATTTATCTTTAACTACCAGCAGTCAGAAATTTTAGAAATATCAAAATAACCTCCAAACTTGCCTTATGATTATTAAAATTAAGAAGAAGTAGACAGCCAATTGGTCAACAAATATCTATAGGTCATTATGATGGTCACTGTTCTAGGTACTTGTGATTCACTGATATAGAAAAGAAGAAGAATATCTGTCCTAGAATACAGAGGTTAAATTTCAATGAGGGAAGAGCAAATATAAATGTGTAGGCCTATGTAACAAATGAATACAAGCAACCAGTAATTCAGCACTGCCTTTACTGGGCTTGCATACAGAGAAGACAGTGGTGGTAGTTGGAAATAAGCCCACTTGGCCCAGATTGATGGGGTTTAAGCTCTATAGTAAAAGAACAGATGGATACTAATCCTTCTTTCTTGACAGTGAATTTTCATTTTATACATGGCAAAACTGACGAAAGGCTGTCTGAACTACGCACATATAATTCAGGATTAACTTGCTTCAGTGAAGGGACAAGCATGACAGGTAAGGTGTTGCAATTATTTTTTTTAAAAAATTGATTTTAGGCAGAGGGAGGGAGGTAGGGAAAGAGAGGGAGAGAGAGACATCAATGTGAGAGAGAAACATTGACTGATTGCCTCCTGCACACTCTCCAACCAGAGATCAAAACCACAACCTGAGTATGTGCCCTGACTGTGAATTGAACTCACAACCTTTTTGTGCACAAGATGACATTCCAACCAACTGAGCCATACTGGCCAGGGCATGTACTGTAATTCTCACCAGACTATCTCTTTTCTCAGAGGTGTGAGGGGAGCTCAAGATTGGTTAATTCTAGTTTTTAAAAGTAGTCTCTGCTTGGATATATCTCAACTTATATGCTCATATCAGGCTGTAGATTTTCCCTGAAAACAATTCCTTTTCCAGACTTCCAGACAAATGCTACCAACATTCACAAAATTTGCTCAAGCCAACTGTGGAAATATTTCATAAAAAATCTGCTTTCAAATTATTCTTACTTTTATCAAATGGACAAAAAATCTCTTTTGGTATTTAAGATTTCTAATTAATAATACTTACTAATGGCCAATTAATACTTTATCACTGGCCAATTTTGATGTTGGACCATGAGTCACGATGAGACTGTCCTCACTCTAAAACTGTGTAAATGTACCATAGCTGTTTTACCCACTTTACTGATGGACACTTGGGCTGCTTCCAAATCTTGGCTAATGCTGCAATGAACATAGAGGTGCATATATCCTTTTGAATTAGTGTTTTGGGTTTCTTTGGATAAATTCCCGGAAGTGGAGTTGCTGGGTCATGAGGTCGTTCCATTTCTTTCTTCTGTTATTTTATTTTATTTTGTTTTGTTTTGTTTTAATAGTATTTATTGATTGCTATTGTTTTACTTTGTATTTTTTTAAATTAAATTTATTGGGGTGATACTGGTTAATAGTGTCATATGGGTTTCAAGTGTACACTTCTATGATACATGATTTGTATATTGCATTGTAAACACAATATTTCCACTATGATTAAAGTTAAAAATTAATTGAAATCCACATGGTATCTTCTCCAATTTATTTCCCACTCAATTTGACTTAGAGTTTAAAAACAAAACTCATGTTATTTTTATTTTTTAAAATATATTTTTATTGATTTCAGAGAAGGGAGAGGGAGAGAGAGATTTAAACATCAATGTGTAGGCTTATGTAACAAATGAATACAAGCAACCACTGATCAGAGAACTACTGATTAGTTGCCTCCTGAGAGGCCCACTCTGGGGGATAGAGCCTGCAACCCAGGCATGTGCATGTGCCTTGATGGAGAATCAAACAGTGACTTCCTGGTTTATAGGCTGATGCTCAACCACTGAGCCAGGATGGCCAGGCTCTTATAGGTTTTGTTTTGTTCTAAACATATCTATTAGCATCTAAATACCATTCAAAAGTTTATCCCACCTCGATCATTTATTTAATTTAATTTATTTTTTTCTGATCATTTATTTTAAAAACTGCCTGCTTGCATTAGTTTCTATGTATTAGGTAGATCTGCTATGACTCCAAGTCTTTTTGGAGGGTCTCTAGTGCAGGCCCATGTCAGATTCTGTTTGTGACTGACCTTGAGTAGGTGGTTTGGAGCCAGCAGCAATCCACAGCTTGTGGCTCCCTCTGCTGGGGCTGAGTGCATTTGGAAAGGACCAAGATGTGCACCAAGTTCTGCTTTTCCTAGTCCCAGGCCCAGAAGCAGATCAGGCAGACTTGAAGCATCCAGAGGTCTGCCTCTGCCTGAAGGTTGATTGTTATTCACAGTCACTTAATGAGCCTTGATTGTTATTCAGAGTCACTTAATGAGCCTTAGGCTGTAGACCAAGCAAGCCATAAACTCCACAGAGTGGGGTGAGAGGTTTTCCAATGGGTGGGAGCCATTATCCCCCACCCCCACCCCTGCCCAGGCAAAAACAATAACAAACAAAGTGATGAATGGTGAAGGTCTGCCTGAGAAAGATGTCTTTTGCAGTAGCAGGGAATGACTAACAGAGCCACCAACCCTGGATTCTCCTCACATAGCTCTAGTCTACTCTGCCTTCCCTCTGTCAGAACCCAAGGTGAGTGGCTGCACATGAACTTTTGTGTGTGGCCCTTTAAGAGAGTGCCTGTATTTCCAGTAGTCTCTCCCTGTCCAACAGAAACCCTGCTGCTTTTCACAGCCAGATGTTATGTGGGCACCTTTCTCAGTTCTGTGTTCTGGGCTGGGGAGCCCAGCTTGGGGATTAGAACCTCGTCTTCTCAGGGGGAATCCTGGCAGCTGAGATATCCCTCTGGAACTTCATCTGCTGCCTGTGAGAGCTCGGTCAGCCTTCTAGGGCCTTCATATTTCCTCCCAGTCTTGATGGGGGCTCCTCTTTACATCCTTGGTTATAGGGGTTGTCTCCAGCTAATCTTCAGTTGGTTATTCAGGATGATTTTTCTATATTTTGGTTGTAATTCCAGTTTGGTCCTAGAAGAGTGTCAGTGTAACTTCCACATAACCCGACACCATCTTGGAATCCCCTTAATTAAACTTGTTTTATCTATTCCTTTTCTGACACCAATCTGGAAAGGAAAAGAAAATCTTGCCTTGTTGCTGCCTAATGCAGGTAGACTTCATATCCTTGATAGCTGTGGGTGATGACCCCTTGTTACCCCTGGATGAAGATGGAATTTTGATTTTCATGCAGCCTCCCTTGGTCTTTAGTTTTAAGAAAACACACTCTAAAAGTTACTTTTAAAAATATTGAACCTATGCGATCTTCTTCTCAACACAGAGAAATACTGGAGCTGCTGCCCACAGAGTTGGAAGTCATTCAGTTTGAACTGCTACTTTATTTCTAATGACACCAAAACTTGGACTGAGAGTAAAAACAGCTGCTCAGCAATGAATTCTCACCTGCTGGTGACCAACACCAAGGAGGAGCAGGTATGTTCTAATAGATAATGAGGGAAGCAATCCTGCCTGGGTTTTGTACACCTCTCTTGGAGTAGGAGGAGGTTTTCATTGTCATGAGATATTGGTGCTGTGGCAAAAGGCTTTCAATAACATAGAAAGGAAAGGCTACGTAAGCCTTTACATTTCACACTGTTTTTCTATTTCCACAAAACTAAACTCCCCCAACATACATAAGGACATTTAAATTGTAATATGTAGGGGTTGATGGGACGATGAAAATATTTCTGCCTGATATATCAGTTTATTATTTCAACGTGTAAATGTTTTATGAATTGTTAAGTAACCGATGTAGTATTAAGTCAAATGGGGAAATGAAGTAAAAGGATCTTTGATGTTGTGAAAGTAAAAATATTTAATGTGCAGAAGTTTACTCATGTATAACTTCAAAGAATACCCTCTCTTAGTGAAGAAAAGAGGGAGAGAGTCTAAGATGAGAATTCACTGCAATTATGGATAGAAATCACTTCCATATGTATTGGACATTGCTATGTTCTGAATGTGTGTGTCCTCTCCAAATTTACCTGTTGAAATTCTAACTCCCAAAGGCGATGGTATTAGGAATTGGGGGTTTGGGGCGGTGCATAGGTCATTAGGGTGGAGCCCTCATAAATCAGGTTAGTGTTCTTATAAAAGCGACTCCAAACAGCTGCCCCGCCTTCCACCATGTGAGGACACAGCCAGAAGGAGCCAGCTATGACCCAGGAAGAGGGATTTGCCCAATCATGCTCCTACCCTGATCTGGAATTCCAGCCTCCAGATCTGTGAGAAGTGTGTGTTGTTTATAAGCTACCCTGTCTGTGGTCTTTGTTGTAGCAGCCTGAATAGATGCAAGACAAACAGCAGGCTCACAGGGATGTCCTTGACCCTGTACTGCACAGCCAGAGAAGGCCTGACCTCCTGGGCAGGGCCTCCTGGCTCTTCCTGGATCCTCTCCTTCCCTTCTCTCTCCCTAAGGCCATAAGGAACTCAGTTCAACCTGAGTAATCCAAAGGCCATAACTCCTTTTTTTATTTCCTCAGGATTTTATCATTCAGAACCTGGATAAAAGCAGTGCTTATTATGTGGGGCTGTCAGACCCAGAGGGGAATGGAGACTGGCAATGGGTTGATCAGACACCATACAATGCAAGTGCCACGTGAGTATAGAATTTGATAAAGGAATGCTGAGTCCTGGATCATCAGGCATTTTAGAGTGTCCAAAGTATCGGGTTTGAAGATAAAATAGCTCAGGCTTCTTGTAACGCTTGGCACTAAGTTAAATAATTTTATTTATTATCTCATTGAATCATCACAAGAACCCTATGGAGCACAGATTATTATTTTTTCATTGTAGAGCTGAGGAAACTGAGTTTAGATAACTCAGCATGTGTTATCTGGCACTGGTGACAATGGTCCTTAAACCCAGGTCTATTTGATACCAAAGTGTATATATTTTATTTTTAAATTCCTCTTCCTCCTTAAGTATGTTTTCATTGATTTCTGAGAGAGGAAGGGAGAGGGAGAGAGGGACGGAAAAATCAATGATGAGAGAGAATCATTGATTGGCTGCCTCCCACATATCCGAAATGGCAACCAAGCCCACATCACGGGCATGTGCCCTGACTGGGAATTGAACTGTGACCCTGGTTCATGGGTCGATGATCAACCACTGAGCCACACCAGTTGGGCCAAATTCTGTGTGTTTGACCACACATATGTATCTCTAAATAAACGCGTAGTCATGTTAATTAAAACCATAACCAATTGTTAATACAGTAGGTCGTTGGGTTACGTCAGAGATCCATTCCTACGGCACGACTTAACATGATTTTCGCTGTAAGTGGGAACCCACCTACATAAGCACCTACGTCACTCACATGGAGCACATACACAGCAGTAATGAAGTGAAACAGTAAAAAACATTTAAAAGAAAGATAACAATTCCTGACCTTTACTTGTGGCAAATAAATAATAAAAAACATAAAGCACATATGTATAAACATTGAAACTTTTTTCTTTTTACAAATAAATGGGAGATGGTGACATAACCCTGAAACGACTACATCGAGTCCACTGTAACCTGAGGACTGTTGTATTTATTATCTCTCATAAAGCAAATGAACTAAATTCTGATAGTTTTACAATATCCCATATTTGTGTAGGTCTTTTAAAATTCTTAAGTACTTTAGTACATTACTATTTTTTTTAAATTTATTTTTATATTTT